CCAGCTGCCAGCAGAGGGGCTGGGCGAGTCCTGGGGTCTCCGGTAGCAGCGCAGGGACCTCTTGGCAGCAGCACGGCTGGGCTGGGCACTGGGAATCTGCAGCTCCTGGTCCCGGCAGGGAGATGCAGCTGGAGACAGAAGCACTGAGGTGGGGGGGCTGCTGCACCTGGCAGTGGCCTTGTCAGGGATGCTAGTCCGATAATCCAGGGGGGCTGGGCAAGGCGTCCCCAGGGGCTCCTGGCTGGGCTCCACGGTGGTGGTGGGGGACGGCAAGGTGGGCTTGGGCTGGTCCAGCATCCGTTTGGTTAAGGAGGAGATTGGCTTGATAGTGATGTCCCAGTGGTGTTTGACGTTCCAGCGGGAGCCGCCCTCAGCAGGGGGCTGCATGCCAGGGCTGCTGTTGTTGCTCTCCGGCCACACTGCACCCGGGATGCAGTAGTCATGGTCTCCCGAGCAGACGTGGCTGGGGGCCGAGCTGGTGTGGGCTGGTGCCAGGCTCTTCCCCTGAAGCCTGCTTGGAGGCAGCACCTTGGCTTTCACCGGCCTGATCGTCTTCTGGGGCCCTTCCTGGGGTGTTGACGCAGGTGACTTGGCCTGGGCCAGCAGCGAGACGGCAGGCAATGGCTTCCAGTCAGGCCTGCAAGAGCACCAGAGGGCTTTCAGGAGCAGTCCTTCGCTGCAGCCCACCCAGCTGGCTGCATCTCCATCCCAGCCCAGCTGCCGTCAGGCCCTGGGGTCTCCCTCAGCCCCACAACAGCCCTTCCAGGACTCAGAGGGCTCCCCCGCCTTGCCCTGGGCATTACCTGCCACGTTGGCCAGCTCAGAGGCCTGCAGGTTGTCCAAGGGCTTCCTGTCCTGCTGGGTCTCAGGTCTGAGAAGGGGGAATGAGCTTTGTCAAATGTGGCAGCCGAAGCCCAGCCTCAGTCCCCATGTCTGGGGCACCCACCCGAGCTGCCCCACTGGTCAGAATTCGAGGAGTTTCAATGATGGAAATTCCAGAGCCTGGTCATGCCCATGACTGCTCCCCCCCATTTTTTCCATCCTTGATGCCAGCTCTGGCCCCCAGCCCAGCAAGGAGCTCAGTCCCTCCAGGGCCAGTGGACACAGCCCCCAGCAGAGTTTGGACCCTGCCAGGACTCTGAGCTGCCCTGTGCCCCTGCTGAAGACCTGGCTCAGCCCTCTGCCAGACTCCACGCTGGGGCACCCCCTGCTATGGTCTTAGTACTCACCCCAAGCTCCCTGCTGGCTGCTTCTCCTCAGGGGGCTGCACGGGAGCAGCCTTCTCTTTCTTGGCTGCAAAGAGAGCAGGCGGGTGAGGGTGGCAAGAGCCTGGGGCTGGAGGGCAGGGGACAGACCCTGGGTGTGGGGAGACACACAGAGCACCTGGGGCACAGCCAGGGAGAGGTGTCACAGAACCCCCAGCCCAGCTCTCTGCAGAGAGGAGCTGTGTATGACCCCCTTCCCAGGCTCTTCACCATCCCCTTGGCTACCCTGGAGACACCCAGGCACTTTCAAAGGCCAAGAAGGAGATGGGGGCAGAAACATCCCTTGGACATTGCACCTGGACAGGGTAACACCAGCCCACAGCCAGCAGCATCCCAACCCCAGCCCCATCCCAGGGAGGGCAGGCAGCCCAGAGGCCGGCGTGGCACCGAGGGAGGGAGCCCCAATGGGGACAGCACATCGCATCCACACCTTCAGACTTCTCAAACTGCTCCAGCAGGCTGGACAGGTCGGTAGCTTCGATCCCTGGGCCAGGGAGAAAGAACAGCAAGTCAGGTCACCCAAAACCCTCCTGGCACCACACAGATACACCCCAGCCCCATCCTCTCCTAGCATCAGCCTTCCCAGGTGACAGGGCGAGCAGTGGGGAGAAGCAGCAGCAGAGCTTGCAGCAGCTCCATGTCTCTCGCAGCAAGGGCAGGAGCACCGAGCTCCGCAGCCCCACAAGGTACCAGTTTGGGCACAGTCAGCCTGAACCACCCACTGGAGGCGATGTCCCGGCAGAGTGCTGGGAAGAGACCGCAAACCCGCGGGCACAGCTTTGCCACCCTCCTCCCTAGGAGCGCCAGGATCCGGTCCCGCTACCGCAGCT